ACCACTACCACCTTTTCTACCAAACCACTTATGTGGGTGCAAGAACACATTGCTTTCTCTCCCGCTATCATGAATGAATGACCTATTGTCCCATTAGAGGTCATCAGACTTTCCACCTCTACAAAAGGTGCCAAGCCCTCTTCTCTTCTCAAGAATATTACGCCAGCAATTCTCCCCCTCTTGCCTATATCAATTTTTTCCTCTCTATTAGATCACTCATATCACCAAACAAATATGCTATAATTACTCCCATCTTTCAAAAAAAAGTCTTTAGCTCCACAACCCCAACCAGCTATTTCCCCATTTCTATGCTCTTTATAACAAAACCATCTTGAAAGAGTTTTCTGTACTCTTCAACAATTACTCTACTACCATTTGCATTTTTATCTGTCCTTTTTGCATGATAAAATATACACAATAAAATTTATAGATTTAACCACCTGTCAGTATACAATTCAGTGGCATTTAGTACAAAATATTGCATAACTATCCCCACCATATGTTTGCAGAGCTTTTACATCATACTAGGCAGAAACTCTACCTATTAAGCACTAACTCAACTTCCCTGTATCCTACAGCCTCTAGCAATGTCTATTCTACTCTCTGTTTCTGTGATTTTGCCTATTCTAAATACCTCATCTGTGATGGTTAATACTGATTGTCAACTTGATTGGATTGAAGGCTGCAAAGTATTGTTCTTGGGTGTGTCCTGCCAAAGGAGATTAACATTTGAGTCAGTGGACTGGGAGATGCAGACCCACCCTCAATCTGGGTGGGCACCATCTAACCAGCTGGAAGCACGGCTAGGATAAAGCAGGCAGATGAATGTGGAAGGACTAGACTTGCTGAGTCTTCTGGCCTTCATCTTTCTCCTGTGCTGGATGCTTCCTGCCCTTGAACATCAGACTCCAAGTTCTTCAGCTTTTAGACTTTGGGACTTACACCTGTGGTTTGCCAGGGGCTCTCAGGCCTTTGGCCCACACTGAAAGCTGCACTGTCAGCTTCCCTACTTTTGAGGTTTTGGGACTTGGACTGATCCACCACTGGTTTCCTTGCTCCTCAACTTGTAGACACGCCTATCATGGGACTTTACCTTGTGATCGTGTGAGTCAATCTCCTTAATAAACTCCCTTTCATACATACATATAGCCTATTCTGTCTCTCTAGAGAACATCATCTAAGTGGAATCACACAATCTTTGTCCTTTTGTGTCTGGCTAATTTCACTTAGCATAGAACTTTCAAGGTTCATTCATGTTTAGCATGCATCAGAACTTCATTCCTTTTTTTTTTTTTTTTTTTTGAGACGGAGTCTCGCTCTGTAGCCCGGGCTGGAGTGCAGTGGCCGGATCTCAGCTCACTGCAAGCTCCGCCTCCCGGGTTTGCGCCATTCTCCTGCCTCAGCCTCCCCAGTAGCTGGGACTACAGGCGCCCACCACCTCGCCCGGCTGGTTTTTTGTATTTTTAGTAGAGACGGGGTTTCACCGTGTTAGCCAGGATGGTCTCGATCTCCTGACCTCGTGATCCGCCCGTCTCGGCCTCCCAAAGTGCTGGGATTACAGGCTTGAGCCACCGCGCCCGGCCTTTTTTTTTTATGATGGAGTTTCACTATTGTTGCCCAGGCTGGAGTGCAATGGCGTGATCTTGGCCCACTGCAACTCTGCCTCCCAGGTTCAAGCGATTCTCCTGCCTCAGCCTCCTGAATAGCTGGGACTACAGGTACCCACCACCATGCCCAGCTTTTTGTATTTTTAGTAGAGACGGGGTTTCACCATGTTGGCCAGGCTGGTCTTGAACTCCTGACCTCATGATTCACCCACCTCAGCCTCCCGAAGTGCTGGGATTACAGGCATGAGCCACCACACCTGGTCAAAATTTCATTTTTTTATGGCTGAATATTATTTCACTGTATGTATATACCATAATTTGTTTATTCATTCATCCACTGATGAACATTTGGATTGTTTCCATTTTGGGAGATCACTGAATAGAGTTACCATGAACATTTATGTACATCAATCTGTTTGAATACTAGTTTTTTATTCTTTTGAGTACATACCTAGAAATAAAATGGCTAGATTATATGGTAATTCTACATTTAATTTTTTGTGGAACCACCAAACTATATTCCACAGCAGATGCACTATTTTACATTTCTACCAGTCTTCCCATTCACTTTTAACCAACTCCAACTAAGATTCCAACAGTGTCATATCACTGCTCTGCTCAAAATCACCAGTAATTTCCACACTGTCAAATCCAAGGATCCATTCTTACAAATAATCTATTCCCTCCTCTTTAAAACATTTATGGCACTTACCTTCCAGTCTCTTGGTTTTCTGCCTACAATATTGATCACTTATTCTCAGCTTCCTTTGCTATTTCTTCCTCATCTTTCCAATTTCTTACCATCACAGTGCCCCAGAGCTTGGCTCTAGAACCTCTTTTTTCTGTTCTACACTAATTTCAGTTTTAATAAAATCATGACTATCAAATATATGCATCTAGGCAAATTTCTAACCTGAATTCTAGATTCATATATCCAACTGCCCACTGAATTACTCTACTTAAATATACAGCAGGCATCTTAAACATACCCAAAACTAAATTCCTCATCTTCATCTCAAATATAGTCTTCTCCTAATCCCAGTCATCTCAAAATGTCAGAGCTCAACTCTTCTAGTTGTTCAAAAGCCATCCTTGGATCATCTTTTTTTTTTTCATTCATATCTCATAATAAAATCTATCAGGAAATTCTGCCTATTTGTCCTTCAAAACACATCCAAAACACAATCACTTTTCATCACCTCCACTTGCTATCACCCTAGTCCAAGTCATTACCATCTCCTGCTTGAAAATTGCATTCCTATCTATTTCTTTTCCTTACTTTTGCTTCCAACACAGCAGCCACAGTGATCCAGATTAAAATATAACCCAGATCATCATATAATTCTTCTAAAAACTGGTCAAATATTGTTTATCTCACTCGGAATAAAAGACAAAGTCCCAAAAATGATCTACACAGTTTACAACTTAGGAACCACTCCAAACCTCATCACCCCTCTTATCTTTCATACCACATTCATTTACAATATCTCATGACACTATTGGCTTCCTTGCGGTTCCTTGAACTCTGGTGCCTTTACATTTGTTATTACTGGAAGGTTCATTCTCAGATATTAATAAGGCTTCCTCTTTCACAAGTCTTTGCTTTAATATTCCCTTCATAATAAGGCCTTCCCTGATGATCCCATTTTAAACTGCATAATTTCCCCTCTAGTGAAAGCACTCACTATTCCTCTTCCCACTTGATTTTTTTTTTTTTGAGACAGAGTTTCACTCTTGTTGCCCAGGCTGGAGTGCAATGGCACGATCTCGGCTCACCACAACCTCCACCTCCTGGGTTCAAGCAATTCTCCTGCCTCAGCCTCCCGAGTAGCTGGGATTACAGCATGATAGCATGCGCCATCACACCCGGCTAACCGGCTAATTTTTTTTTTTTAGTAGAGATGGGGTTTCTCCATGTTGGTCCGACTGATCTCGAATTCCAGATCTCAGGTGATCTGGCCACCTCGGCCTCCCAAAGTGCTGGGATTACAGGCGTGAGCCACCGCACCAGGCCCCCACTTGACTTTTCTACATAACCTTTATATTCAATGAACACAATATATATGTTATTTGTTTATAATATCAACTTAAGTTTGAAAAAGCAGGAATTTATATCTGTTCACTCTGGTATCTCTGGAGACAAAACAATGCCTAGACACAGCTGGCACTGAGAATATTTGTTGAATGAATTAAGATATTACTCGGGACTATTACAGGCATGGTAATAGTATTATAAAAGTCCAGGAAACAAATAACTCAAAAATTAAGTTTGGGTTATATGTGAGAGGAACAGAAGGTAAAATGTGATCAAAGAAGAATACATGGGGGATCAAAGCTACTAGCAATTTTATATTTCTTTTGGCTGAGATGCAGGGGGACTGGGATTACAGGTGCGAGCCACCGTGCATGGCATAATTTTGTATTTCTTCAAGTAAAAGGGTATTTACTTTATTATTCTTTGACCTGGACATACACATATTTGTATATATTATATATATTTTTGTATAGATGAGAATAGATATTTTACATGCATTATTTTAATGGAAGAAGTCGTCAAATTATGTTAAATACTGCTGGAAAAATAGCTAGAAGAGGACCTAGTTAACAAATTTGTCCTTAAAAGTGAAACAAATGAGGAAAGAGATAATTATATATAAATAATCCTTTAAAAACAAAAATTTGTTATGAGGCTGGGCATGATGGCTAACACCTGTAATCCTAGCACATTGGGAGGCCAAAGGGGGAAAAACGCTTGAGCCTAGGAGTGAGACCAGCCTGGGCAACATGGCAAAACCCCATCTCTACAAAATATTTTTAAAAAGAAAAAAAAAATTAGCTGGGCACAGTGGCACATGCCTGTAGTCCCAGCTGCTCGGGAGGCTGAGGTGAGAGGATGTCTTGAGCCCGAGAGGCAGAGGTTGCAATGAGCTGTGATTGCACCACTGCACTCCAGCCTAGGCCAGACCCTGTCTCAAAAAAAATAAAAGAGAGAGAGAGACAGAGACTGTTATGATTGTTACGAAGGCAAGCACAGAAATGAAACCGTACCTGATGGGTAAAAGAATTCAAGGGAAAATTTTTGCTGTTCCTTTCTTTTTTAATGACAATATTAAGGCATGTTTGTACACCAAATGAATGATTCAATAGGGCAAAAAACTATCCATGAAGCTAATAAAAAAGAAATGTGGAGAAGGCCCTAAGAAGACAGGAAGGGATCAAAATTCAAAGATTTCAAGTGGAGGAGCCATGTAATTTTATGAAGTAAGAACTGTTAGACTCTATCTCACATCTACTGAATGCAAAACAAACTTGAATGAAGCTAGAATTGTACTAACAATCCAAATTTAAGTATTAAAGTTGCTACAGATATAAACAGCAAGAGAAAAGACCTACTTTGAAAGTCACCGTTGCCTTTGTGCAATAAAATCCTATAGAAACAATAGGATCCTTCAAAGCCTGTGCTTTTTGCTGATGCGTGGTTGATGCAGGATCATTCCCAACAAAGTCTTCCTCGCCATCGTCATAACTCACAATTGCAGGCACAAAGGACCAGGCCCATGATACCCATCCCTGTGGCTGCTCCTCATCTTGCTGTGAATATAACTCTTGACCTTTATACTGAGTAGGATATTGCATATCTATTCTTGTTTCATCTTCAGAACCTATCAATTAAAATTAAGTCACTTTAAATAAGTCAAAAGAATTTAACTAAGAAAATAGAAATACACATCCTTCACAATTTTTCCTCCCATATCCTTCTATTATAAGATATAAACAAATGATACATTGATTATTATTATTTGAAACCAATAATTTAGCATTATGACTCTCAAGTTTCTGTATGTTGTACTGTGTCAATCTCCTTTAGTAGGTTATGGTTAATGTGATGTGGAAAGTAGCTTATCAACTGCACATAACTTTTAACTGTATTTGATAAAGACAAAAAATAAATTAATTATTTAACGTCACTCATGATGTTTTAAACCAACAACAAAAAACCTACCTCTCAAAAATAAGGCTGATATATTGAAAAACTGACTTTTCTCAGAAACGTAATACCACAAAGATCCAAGAAATATTCTTCATTTCCTTATGCACCCATGGAGGAAAAAAAAATGGAAAGTGCTTCTAGGCAAAATGTACCCCTGCCCAAACAAGAATTATCCCAAAGATGAAAGCAAACATTACAATAAAATGACTTTTATATGTAGCTAAGAAAAATAATAATGTTGGGGCCTCTTTCTTACTAGCAAGTAAGATATTATATACCTTTCCTATTGTACAGATGAAAAAATTATAGGGAAGAAATTTTATTTGGTTACAAATTGGCAGACCAAAGATTTAGATTCCAACCACTCTTTAATTTATGCCACCTTTGTAAAGACAAACTCCATCAAAGTCCCTTAATATTATTCTAGCTATATAAACAAAAGAGGCATCATAAAATTTAGAAAAAAAAAATTACTTTTTAAAAATTTCACAGGGACCAGGAACAGTGACTAGCACCTGTAATCCCAGAACTTTGGGAGGCCGAGATGGGCAGATCACCTGAGCTCAGGAGTTCGAGACCAGCCTCAGCAACATGATGAAACCCTGTCCCTACTAAAAGTACAAAAAACTGTCCAGGTGTAAAATTCATAGGGGCCAGGATCAGTGACATACACCTGTAATCCCAGCACTTTGGGAGGCCAAAGTGGGCAGATCACCTGAGCTCAGGAGTTCAAGACCAGCCTGGGCAACACGGTGAAACCCTATCCCTACTAAAAAAACAAAAAAAATTGTCTGGGTGTGGTGGTGTGCACCCATTATGGTCACAGCAACTTGGGAGGCTGAGGTGGCACGAGAATCACTTGAAGCCAGGAGGCAAGCATTGCAGTGAGCCATGATCATACCACTGCACTGCAGCCTGGGTGACAGAGCAAGACCCTAGACCCTGTCTAAAAAAAAAAAAAATACACCATAGGAAAAGTAGTCTCCAGCAGATTCACTCATATCTACTCTCCATTGATAAATCTATAAATACACATACTCTTTTAAATCTTTATATAACATCCTTACAGGTTTTCTTATTGAAAAAGCTTTAAAACTTTTTAAACTCTTATGACAGGAGACTCTTGGAACATTCTACATTTACAGGTTATGAATGTTTGCCTTCTTTCACCTGAGAAGGAAAAGGCTTAATAAGAATTAACTAGAGTAACTAAAATAATAGTACCAAGACACTTTAGCCATTGTAGTTCAGAATAAGTTTTATATAAGTTGCAAACCCTGTTGGGCCCACTGGCTCATTCCTATAATCCCAGCACTTTGGGAGCCCGAGATGGCAGAATCACATGAAGCCAGGAGTTCAAGAACAGCCTGCTACAACAAAGTGAGACCCCCCCCACCTCGACAAAAATTTAAAAAAAAAAAAAAAATTTATCAGCCACACTCAGTGTCATGCACCTGTAGTCCCAGCCACTCAGGAGGCTGAGGCTGGAGGATTGCTTGAGCCCAGGAGTTCAAGGCTGCAGTGAGCTATGATCATGCCATCATACTCCAGCCTGGGCAAGAGTGAGACTATGTAAATAAATAAATAATAAATACATAAAGTAAAATAAAATTTTAAAAAGACACAAAAAAGCTTTAAATGGACAAATATTTAACACATACTTCACAAAGGTAGATAAAGGCCTATAATCACATTAAAAATTCAAAATAATTAGCCATCAAAAAATGCAAATTAAAAAACCATAAGATACCACAACACACTCATCCCAATGGCAAAAAAGTGAAAAAATACACCATTGAATGTTAGCAAGGATGTAGGCCAACTGCAACTGTTACACATTGTTGATAGGAATATAATATGGTACAACCACATTGGAAAAAGTTATGGAAGTTTCTTTGAAAAATAAACATATAATTCTACTCTTAAGTATTTACCCAAAAGAAAGAATACCACATGTCTACGTGAAATTTGTACAAAAATATCTATGAAAGTTTTATTTATAATAGCCAAAAACGAAAAACAGCCCAAGTGTCCATCAACAACTGAATGGTAAAATAAACTATAGTATATTCACATGGTATATTCATACAATGTATCTAGCAATGAAAAGGAAAGAACGACTGCTATATGCAACAACATAGATAAATACCAAACACACTATGCTTAATGAAAGAAACCTTTATACACACTGTTTCCGTTTATATGAAATTCTAGAATCAGCAAAACTAAATCTATAGTTTTAAGGAACTTCAGAATAGTGTTTTCTCGAGGGGAGGCAGGCAGGTGAAAGGGGGATGACTAGAAAGGGGTATAAGAAACTATCTCAGCTGTAAATGACCTATATCTTGATGAGTGTTTTGCATCATACAGGTGTATGTATTTCTCAAACTCACTGAATTTTACTTTGGAGATTTAACTTCCAAAAAAAACTAAAATCACCCACTTAGTAGAAACTCTATATAACAACAGGCAGCTGAGGGTTAGGGGTGAAGTGTACCAATGTTTGTAACTTAACTTGAAAGGCATCAAAAACAATCATTGTATTGATAAATAGAGAAAGGGATGTTAGATGAACCGATATGTGATGAAGCAAATGTAACAGAATATCAATAGCAGACTCTAGATGATACGTATGTGAGTGTTCACCTTATAATAACTCTTACAGCTTTTCCATATATTTGAAATTTGTCATGTTGGAAAAAAATAAAATAAGTATCCTCTACGTGCTATGTTTGCTCCAGGTATCAGACACTGTTTCTGTCTCAGAAGTGCATTGTCTAACAAAAATTTACCCTCTAGTGTGAAATAAAGGTACGTTTTATATCTATGTACTCTGACTCATGTTGTTCTCCATGCTTTAAGGTAGTAAGATTTTTTAATGAGATAAAGTTTAAACAGCATAAAATTCAACATTTAAAGGTGTACAATTCAGTGGGATTTTTTTAATAGTCACAAGTTCTGCTCCCATCACCACTATCTAATTTTAGAACATTTTCATCATTCCAAAAAGAAGCCTACTTATTTGCAGTCATTCTCTCCTCCCCTCAAATCCTGGTTACTAATCTACTTCCTGCCTCTACAGAACTGCCTATTCTGAACATTTCTAATGGAATCATAGCACACGTGTTATCTTTTGACTGGCTGCTTTCACTTAAGATAACGCTTTCAAGGTTCATCCATGCTGAAGCCTATATCAGTATTTCATTTTTTTGTATAGCTAAATAATACTCCAATGTATGAATATACCATAATTTGATAATCTATTCATCAGTTGATAGACATTTCAACTGTGTCCAGTTTTTGGCTACTATGAACATGTTACCATGAACATTTCATATATAAGTTTTTACATGGACATATGTTATCAATTCTCTTGATATATACGTAGGAATGGAATTGCTGGGTCAATATGGTAACTCTATATTTAACGTTTTGAAGAACTGCCATATTGTTTTCCAAAGCAACTATATACCATTTTACACTCCCAACAACAACTTATATGAGTTCCAATTTCTCCACATCCTCACCAATACCTGTTATTTTGTATTTTTTTTTATTATAGTCATCTAGTACCTGTGAAGTGGTATGTCATTGAGGTTTTGATTTGCTTGTTTGCTATTTGTTTATCTTCTTTGGAGAAATGTCTCTTTGCCCATTTTTAATTGGTTTATTTGCTCCTAAGTTTTAAATGCCCTTCTCTTAGGGCCTTATCTATGGAAATTAATCATCTTAAAACTTTCTGAGTCTCAGGCCCTATACCAAGTTGAAATCAGTCATTCCTTTCATCTTTCTACATCAGATCATTCATGATATTTATCAAACTTTCTGCCATTCTACCATACATCATACTTAACTAACTACTGACACATCTATCTGTCCCATTTTATCTTAAAATTCTAAGGGAAAGAAATACATCAAAATGATCTCTGTATTTTCCCACATTACATATCCTTCAATGAAGTTTACATTTCATTAATTAACAGCACTAAAATAATTCAATTTTACTTAAGTGAAGTTTTGCAGAAAAATTACCAATACTATTATGTACTAGGAAATTTTGAGGTTATACTACTTCAACTTTTATCAAATGTATATCCCGAGTCAAGCATGGTGGCTCATGCCTGTAATCCCAGCACTTTGTGATGCTGAGGTGGGCAGATCACTTAGGCCTAGGAGTTTGAGACCACCCCGGGCAACACAGCAAAACCTGTCTCTACAAAAAATGCAAAAATTAGTCAGGCATGGTGGCGCGTGCCTGCAGGCCTAACTACTAGGAAGGCTGTGGTAGAAGGATCACCTGAGCCTGGGAGGTCGAGGTTGCAGTGACCCATGATCGTGCCACTGCACTCCAGCCTGGGTGCCAGAGCAAAACCCTGTCTCATTCATAAATAAATAAGTAGTACATTCTGAACACTTATATTTATTAGAAATATATAAGTTATTTTTAGCATATAGGAAAAAATCAGAATGTTATCCAGCATGTAGATAAAATTAAAGTAGTGTAGGCCGGGTGCAGTGGCTCGTATCCAGCACTTCAGGAGGCCAAGGCAGGCAGATCACAAGGTCAGGAGTTTGAGACTAGCCTGGCCAATATGGTGAAACCCCATCTCTACTAAAAAAATACAAAAATGAGGCAGGCGTGGTGGTGCATGTCTGTAATCCCAGCTACTTGGGAGGCTGAGGCAAGAGAACTGCCTGAACCTGAGAGGCAGAGGTTGCAGTGAGCCATGATTGCACCACGGCACTGCAGCCCAGGCAACGGAACTAGTCTCCGTCTCAAAACAAAACAAAAAAATTAAAATAGTGTAAAACAACCAAAAAACAATCAGCCCATCTCATTAGAATACGGTAAAACTCAATCTAATACATTTTTTAAAGTTTCTCAATGGTAAAATGTAAGAATAGTCTTAAAGTTTTTGTTTAATAAAGTTTTACATTAGTTACCTGTAATGTTTCCTAGCATATCTTTATTATGACAAGTAGGGTCCTCTATTTCGCCTTCTTTAAAACTGCCTATTTCTCCGTAGTAAAGAGCAATTCCAAGTTGCATTATACGAATAAACATAGGCAGTTGTTGATCTGTGATAGAAAGTTTCAAACTTTCTACTAAAGTATGAATCTGCATTTTGAAAAAGACAAAAACACCAACAAACGCATGTTTAAAAAGAGTACCTTTTACGTAAAGAAATGTTTTAAGGTCTTCAAATGGCCTAACACAAAAGAAATGCTCCAAACATTTTAATACTTAAATCAAAACGATACTCTAAGATCTTAGGAATTAAGTAGATTTTGCTATGATGATCAATACACGTTAGCTAGAAACTATATTAAACCAAATGATGTACATACAAATAGAATTAATAGTGAGAAGGTATAATCACATTAGATTTCCAGATTACTGTTCCAGAAACAAAGTTAGTTATGTAACCAAATAGCTACTCTATAACATTAAGAGAATAACAGTACTACCCCCAAAAAACAGAACAATCTGTCAAAACCAAGAATAATAAAAATTTTATGTCATTTTAGTGAAACTCTAATCATTCTTTCCAGATTTATTAACCATAAATAATACATACATCTAAAACCATGTGTTAACTGGGGAAAAGACTAATATTACAACTATGAAAGTATGTAAATAATAAAAATTTTTGTCAAATATAGAAAAACAAGTGAAATGTATGTTGAAAAACGTTTTTCAAATTTTAAATAAGATTTAAATAACAAAAGTTTTTCAAATTGTAAAGATTTAAATGACATAAAATTTATTCAACTGATAAAATGAAACAATTATAACAAAGAAATAAGATTAACTACTAGCAAATAGGATATACAGCAATCAAAGTTCTCCTTAAAGAAAGAGACATCAATGGAATATAAACACAGCTTCGGTGTAATGGTTTCCTGCTGTTATCGAAATATGGAGTAAAACCAATTAAGCCATAAAGTCCAGTCTCTTAGAAGGTTTATTTTGACTAATGTATTTGAGTGTCTATGAAAGATGAAGTAGTAGTAATGGCAATCATCGTATTTTTAGGGCTTAAAGCACATAAAAAAGTTCATGTTAAGGGGGAGAAAACTGTATGGGGGGACTGTGAAATACCATATTTCAAATATAAGCACAAGTTTTTAAAAACTGACCTAATAATCATACACTGAATAAACAATGAAGAGGTAAGAAAATGGGGAATGAATGGGGGAGGTGAGCAGGAAAGGAGTATGCACATCTGCTAAAGTTTCCTTAATTTGAAATTTCTCTGCCATATTCTTTTAAATCTTGTATTGTACCAATAGCACTGGAGATAAGCAGTCAGCAAAACCAACAACAAAGAATCTGTCTTAAGTGTCTTTTTAAAAACTACTTAAAACGAGTAAGATTAATAGTCAATAGGAAAATGGATAAAGAACCCGAACTGAGAATACAAAGAACAAATGACCAGTGAATGTGTTTTCAAAAATCTAACTTCAGTAATAAACAGCAATTAAATTACGTATCATTTGTTGTTCAACAAGTTGGCAATTTTTAAAATCTGATCATATTTAAGGATAACAAGAGTATGATGTAGGCACTCTCCCTAATGTTCATGGGAGTATAACCTGGCTAAATCTTTCTGGAAACAATTTGGCAATACAGATCACAGGTCTTAAAAAAAAGATATTTGCAATTATACAAATCTTTCCTAAGGAATTACTCAGGAAATGTGGTCAAAGATCTATGCACAGAATTTCACTGCTCTGAGAAACTGCAAAGTAAATTTCTAAAAACAGGAGAAATGTTAAATAAATTACGTACCCATAGGATCTGTATCTCATAAACGTCATAATCACCAGAACATATTTATTTCACACAAAAAAATGGAAAATTATAAAAAGCCAACCCAAAATATAAATGCATTCAAAATAAACATACATGAAAGATTTGAAAAGAAACAGAGGGGCCAGGCACGGTGATTCATGCCTGTAATCCCAGCACTTTGGGAGGCCGAGCCAGGGGGATCACGCATGAGGTCAGGAGCTCGAGACCAGCCTGATCAACAGGGCAAAACCCCGTCTCTACTAAAAATACAAAAATTAGCCAGGCCTGGTGGACGGCACCTGTAATCCCAGCTACTCGGGAGACTGAGGCAGGAGAATTGTTTGAACCCAGGAGGCAGAGGTTGCAGTGAGCTGAGATCATGCCATTGCACTCCATCCTGGGCAACAAGAACCAGACTTTGTCTCAAAAAAAAAAAAAAAAGAAAAGAAAGAAAAGAAATAGAGTACCCGGAACATTTTGAGAAACCTCTGTTTGTGAGGTAATTAATGAGGTCGACCATATCTATTTAATACATATTCCCTAGGATTAGGAGTTGGAAGGATGATGGGTCTAACCCAGAATGGCAAATCTCAACATTACAATAGTATTAACAAAAAACTCAGGCAGGCATGGTGGTTCATGCCAGGATTCCCAGCACTTTGGGAGGCGTAGACAGGAGAATTACTTGAAGCTAGGAGGTTCAAGACCAGCCTGAGCTGCAGAGTGAGGCTCTGTCTCTACAAAAAACAATTTAAAATGAGCCAGGGATAGAGACATGTGCCTATAGTTCTAGCTACTTGAGAGCCTGAGGCAGAAGGATCGCTTGAGCCCAGGAGTTCAAGGTTACAGTGAAGTATGATTGTGCCACTGCACTCCAGCCTGGGTGACAGGGAGCCTCGAAGGTAAAGAAAAAAGGAAAGAGGAAAAAGGAGAGAGAGCAGAGGGGAGGGGAGAGAAAGGGAGGAGAAGGGAGGGAGAAAGGAGGGAATTAAAAAGAGAGAGAAAAGAAGGAAGAAAGAAAACCTCAAAAATTGATTTCAGTTGAGCATAAAACATTGATATCACATATTTGGCAACTATTATACACGTTTATTTATGTTAAGGGACTTTTTCAGTGAAATGTCATGGCTAATCAGTTGTGAGAACACAAACTTACTTATATGCCAACACTAAGTTTTTTCTCATCTATTTTTATCTTCCTCTAATATAACCACATCCCAGAACAGACTATTACATATGCACTAATGATCAAAAAGAGTATTTTATATAGTAAACGTACATATATCCATTACTTGCTTTCAATGTATCTTGAATTTACCTTCACATTCCCCAACTTTACTAGAAAACCCAAGGCTAAAGAAAGTAAGCCCATTTCCCTGAGATAGAGCCATCAATATTACTAAGTTAATTCTTTTCCATGTTTATCTTTGCCAAAGAAGCTAATTCAAATATAGAAGGAAAAAGTAACAGAATATAAACAAACCAATATGCATTATACACTGTGTGGAAAAAAGTAAAACACAGGTGACTGAGCACTACCAAGAAATAAAATGTAGATTTTACATATTAAGTACAGTAACGCTACATAAAATAGAAAAAATTATATTTTAAATAAAATATAATGTAACAAAAACAAACCTAGTTTTTATACAGCCATACCCAAACAGAAACAGTAGTCAATACCAGTGTTCAGACACCTAAGTCCAGCCCTTCCATCACAGAACTTTGACAGTCAGTGGCAAGTAATTCAACAATAAACATTTATTCCACATTAAAACCTAGTTAACGGATCAGAAGTCACCGAATTCTTTTTCCAAGATACAGTGATAGGCAGACAAACAATATTCAGAAAACTTAAATAAGACAACAATATTTATGCTTAGATACTAACCACATACATTGAAAACATACATTACATTGGAGAGAAAATTTTCACAGGTATCAAAAGACATGTCCTGTGCTCACTTAGAAATGGAAGCTAAATCTTTGGTATACATGGACATAAAGATGGGAACAACAGACAGTGTGGACTCTAAAAGGAAGGAAGGAGGGAGAGAGAATAAGCGCTGAAAAACTTCCTATTGGGTACTATGTTCACTATCTGGGTGATGGTATCAATGGGAGCCCAAACCTAAGCATCATACAATATACCCTTATAACAAATCCCTTAATCTTAAATAAAAATGGAAATAAAAAATAAAAAGACATGTCCTGAATAACTCCCTAAGATTTTAATTACATTTTAAAAATCATAAATCAAAAGCTAAAACTTCTTGAACCAATGAACTAAAATATTGGGTTAGTATATCAAGCTTTACAAAGTCACCTAGTAAAGAGAAGAAAAAGTATAGATAGCAGATCATGCTGAACAGATTATAAGAACTGAAATACAGAATACTGATATGCAGTCCATTGTGGGTATAAATATACCCTTTAATATTATTTCCTCTATCTACTTGAAGAGAGAAACACTAATAAACAGCTGGACAAACTAAAAAAATAAAATTACAGAGAAAAGTTGTCTCTAAACTCTACTAGAATATATCATACAGAAATGTATAAATACAACATAAAAATCATAAACAGAAATAAAATTTTTATAAAAACAAATGGCATACATATTTATAAGGTTAATTTCCTCATTTGTTAATAATGATTATCATCCGCAAGAGTCAATAAACAAAATAAAGACATGCAACTTAACTACAAAAAAAAAGAGATACCTACTTTAATAACAGATGGCATCTTGGAATTTAGGTTATCATATGTAAAATGAAGACGAGTTCTGAAGGAACATTTGTACAATAAAGGATCCTGGTAAAATTCTATTTTACCACTGGCATTCCGTTTATCAAGACAAACTGTACAGTCAGAAAAATTGATAACCTTTCTCAGCACCAAATCAGTTGCTAAAAAGGAAAGAAAACATTTTAAGTAAAAAGGAAAATGAGCAAGGGAAAGGCAACCATTATTTATTAGTATAAATAGTAATAAAACTAATAACAGAAAATAAGATTCATGGAGCGTTTAATACATAATGCCAGACCATATGCAATGAACTTTTCATTTTATTATACAATTTAAATCTTCCAACAACTTTATGAAATAGGCACAATTCTCCCCATTTTATACGTAAAGAATCAGAGACCTAATTAGCTTACCCCCAATCTGCACGACACATTAACTACAAATTATTTTTAATTATGAAAAATTTCACTACAGTTCTCTTACACAATGAGATAATAAAATTCTTAAGAATCCATACTAAAGACAATTTTTTGAAGAAGTCATTCACTTAACATTCATTTTATATTAAAAAACTCACTGCTACTCTAAACTTGCACTATCCAATATGGTAGCCACCAGCCATATGTGGCTATTTAAAATTAAAATTATATAAAAATAAAAATTCAGGTCCTTGGTTGCACTAGCTATATTTCAAGTGCTCAACAGCCACATATGGCTAGTGGCTACCATATTGGAGAGAGAAGATAAAAAATACTTGTATTATGACAGAAAGGTCTAGTGGAAAATACCACATTAATAAAGAAATCACCAATAACAGTCTAGAGTATATTTTCAAAGGAATAAAAATAAAACAGTTGATGGTAAAGTATAAAAGTATGAAATGAAGCCTTTAGCAAATCAATAATTTATTTCTTGACTGATAAGCAATTCCTAGGTAAATATCAGGCCCAAATCTACTTGCCCAGTGATTTTAAGTTAGCCATGGGAATTTAAAAAACAATAAAATGTGTTTTAGTTCGGGTTACAACACTATTTCTGAGTATATCCTGGTAACTTCTAATTAATTCAACATTTTATTTTTTAAGTTTTTAAAAAGTAGAAATTAAAGAAGATGTGTCTAAATAGTATTATTTGCAGATAAATTTCAAAGTTGTCTGTTACTTGAAAAAAATATATGACTACCATATTTCAAATGTACATATTATATGAATAATGATTTAGTTACTAATATTATATGTGTACACAAATTAAGAAATTACAATAGTAGGACTAGAAATGAGAAAAAAAAACATAAGATATCCTGTAGGTGTTTCCTTCCCTCTCTTTATGATAACAATTATCATTTTCTGAGTATCTGCTATTACTCAGATACTACACTAAGTCTTTTACATCTCTTATCTGACAATATTTATAAGATCCTGTTAAAAAATGTGAAAACTGAGGCACAGTGGTAATAGTTTGTCTACTGTTATACAGTTTATAAAGATTAGAGCTGTAATTCAAACTCTGGCAACCGTACTGCAGAGCTCATGTTCTCATCTACTGTGCTATAAGAACGTAAGCTATTCAGTCCAGGCATGATGGTTCACGCCTATAATCCCAGCATTTTGGGAAGTGAAGGCAGATTGCTTGAGGCCAGGAGTTCAAAATCAGCCTGGGCAAAGTGGTGAAACCCCATCTCTACTACAAATACAACAATTAGCTGGGTGTGGTGGCAAATGCAGAAAATCACAGCTACTCAGGAGACTGAGGCACAAGAATGACTTGAACCCAGGGGGTAGAGCTTGCAGTGAGCCAAGATCATGCCACTGCACTCCAGCCTGGACAACAGAATAAGACTCTCTCTAAAAAAAAAAAAAAAAGTTAAGTATTCATATTTCAAGGATACCCCAGACAATTACTATTCAGTGAAAAAAGGAAATTACTGTTTTAAAAATGTTTTTTTTTAAACATGAAATATAACAGCAACTATATTTCAAAAACTTACAAAATGAATTATAGTTTCTGGTACTTACTTTAAAAATATGCTACAATTTAATCAGTAAAATATTATTCATCACTGAAATTAGGGCTCTTCAACTATATACGCCAATATATAGAAACATTAAAAGCATAATATTGATTGAAAACAGCAAACCTAAAATACAACATATAAGAATACTATTTTTAAAAAAAAGGTAAGAAACTTATTCAAAGAAATAGAGAAAACTTCCCAAACCTGGAGAAAGCAATCAAAGAAAAGCCTAAGACCTTTGGATTCACTGTCATATTCTACCAAACATTTAAAGAACTCATACCAATATTCACAAACTATTCCAAAAAATTGAAGTGGAGGGAATTCTTCCAAAATCATTTCCATACTATCCAAAGCAATCTATGAAATCAATGCAATCCCTATCAAAATACCAATGACACTTTCACAGACATAAGAAAAAACAATCCTAAAATATGTATGGAACCACAAAGACCCTAAATACTCAAAGCAACCCCAAGCAAAAAGAACACAGCTGGAGGCATCATACTCCCTGATTTTAAAATTTACTAAAAGCAATAATAACCAAAACAGCATGGTACTGGCACAAAAAAAGACACATAGCCCAGTGGAATAAAATTTAAAAACCCAGAAATAAATCCAAGCATTTACAGCCAACTGATTTTCTACATAGGGGCAGTCTCTTCAATAAATGGTGCTGGGAAAACGGCATATCTATATGCAGAACAAACCTAGACCCTTATCTCTCACTACAAAAATCAACTTGAGATAGATAAAAGACTTAAATGTAAGACCTGACATTGGTCTAGGCAAAGAATTTATGACTAAGACCTCAAAAGCATAGGCAACATGCTTTTGAATATACATCTTCTCTACCACAAAGACACACGCATGTGTATGTTCATTGCAGCACTATACACAATAGCAAAGACATGGAATCAACCTAGATGCCCAACAGTGGACTAGATAAAGAAAATACAAGACATATACACCATGGAATACTACATAGACATAAAAAAAGATGAAATCATGTCCTTTGCAGCAATATGGATAGAGCTGGAGGGCATTATCCTAAGTAAATTATTGCAGGAACAGAAAAACAAACACCGCATGTTCTCAATTGTAAGTGGGAGCTAAGCACTGAGTATACATGGACACAAAGAAGGGAACAATAAATACCAAGGCCTACCTGAGGGTGGAGGGTGGGAGGAAGGTAAGAATCAAAAGATTAACCATTAGGTACTATGCTCATTACTTGAACGACAAAATAATCTGTATACCAAATGCACGCAACATGCAATTTACCCAAGTAAGAGACCTGCACATGTACTCCCTGAACCTAAAATATAACTTGGAAAGGAAAAAAAAGAAATATTAATTCTCACATATAGTATGGATGGTAATAAATTGATTTAACCATTTCAGAGAACAAATCAGCAATATAAAACATAACTGAATGTTTACATACTCAGTTATTCTTTTCCTGATCATAATTTACAGAACTTGAACACGTAACGAGGAAACATAGAAAAGGATGTACATTCCAGCATTATGGGCAATGTCAGTATTTTAGAACAACTTGAATGTCAACCATATGGGAGATGATAGGATTCTGCCTCTAATAGTAGAAAAGATTAGATATTCTGAAGACCTTTATATTGAAATAAAAGTCTTGGAAATTATTTTAAAAATATGTAAGGGGAAGGAATGAGTTAAAGGAGAAAGAATAGATAGATGGCCCAAATATTTTATTTTTTAATCCATTATGGCAAGTAATTAGTGCAATCTGATTTGGTGTCAATTGAACATCTTATGTTTATTGGTCTTTGGGGTATACTCTTTTTTACATGTTTGTTCAAGTCTCCTGTCCATTTTTCTATTGAGCTATTTTTTTCTTATTGATTTATAAAAGTTATATATTGTGGATATAAGTATGTTGCAAATTGTAAGTATCAAGAATATACACTTCCATCTGTGGCTTGTCTTTTTACCCTCATAAAGACATTACAATTCTTATTTTAACTGCAATATTTTAATACAGCCTCATACATTACTTGTTGGTATAAAAAAATGGCATTACTATTATGAAAAAACTATTTGTCAGTTATCTCTGAAGCTTAACATAGGCCTACAGTATGACCCAGTAATTTCACTCCTAGGCATATACCCAACAGAAATATATGTATATGGCCACCAAAGGACATGTATGAAAATGTTCATTATAGCATTATTCATTATAGCCAAAACTGGACATAATTAAATCTATATCAATAGTACACAGAGCAAAAAAAGTTTTATTCACAACATGGACCAGACCTGCAAACTCACCATCCCCCATACATCAGGAAAGACCAGTGCAGGCAGAATCCCAACCCTTCCTCACCTGATTGTGCAGGGAGAGGAAACAGATATATACACACACAAATGAACTATTGTTACAAAAACCTGAATAAATTTCACTTACATAATATTGAGCAAAATAATCTAGGCCCAAAAATACATATGGTTCCATTCAAATAAAAATTTAAAGAGTCAAAACCCTACTACGGTGTCAGATGTCAGGAAAGTGGTTGCTTTGGGGAAAGAAGGGGCAGTAGTAAGTGAGTATATGTACAACAAGCACTTCTGGGTACTGAGATTGTTCAATTTCTTGAGCTTGGTAGTGGTTACATGAGTATGTTCATTTTATGGTATGTCATTTCGCTATGTGGGTTCTCTGTTTTTGAGTTTTTTTGTTTGTTTGTTTGAGATGGAGTCTTGCTCTATCGCCAAGGCTAGAATGCAGTGGCACAATCTTGGCTCACCCAGCCTCCACTTCCCAGGTTCAAGCGATTCTCCTGCCTCAGCCTCCCAAGTAGCTAGGATTACAGGCACCTGCCACCATGCCCAGCTAATTTTTTTTTTTATTTTTAGTAGAGATGGTGTTTTACCATGCTGGCCAGGCGGGTCTCAAACTCCTGACCTCAGGTGATCCGCCTGCCTCAGCCTCCCAAAATGCTGGGATTACAGGCGTAAACCACCACACCTGGCCAGTTATGTGTTTTTGCTTAATGCTCTTTCCTTTTTGTATGTTATGCTTCACTTAAAAAAAAACTATTTTAAAAAAAAACTAATAAAAGGGAAAATAATAGTTTCTTCCTCAGAGAGTTAAAGGGTTAAACAAGATAATTAATACAAAATATATAACACTAGCCCTGGTACTAAATAAACAGAAGATACTATTTTCACTGTCTTTATCACCACCATCATCATGAGCTTTCATATGGTATCATATTTGCTTCTGAAGATACATTGGCAAGTTAGAAGCAGTCATTTTATAAATGACTCACCCAAGTTTGCACTATCAATGAATAGTGGAGAGAAGATTCCAACTAAGATCTTCCAACTCCTGATCCAGAATTCTAATTCATGATAATTTCCAAAAGTAAAATTGGCATTGCTTCTACATTAAAAATTATATTTCTGGCTGGGCATGGTGGCTTACGCCTGTAATCCCAGCATTCTGGGAGGCCGAGGCAGGCAGATCACTTGAGGTCAGGAATTCGAGAACAGACTGGCCAACATGGTGAAACCCCATCTCTACTAAAAATATAAAAATTAGCCAGGCATGCTGGCAGGCGCCTAGAGTCCCAGCTACTTGGGGCCAGGCATGCTGGCAGGCGCCTAAAGTCCCAGCTACTTGGGAGGTTGAGGCAGGAGAATCGCTTGAACCTGGGAGGCAGAAGTTGCAGGGAGCCAAGATTGCATCACTGCACCCCAACCTGGGTGACAGAGCGAGACTCTGTGTCAAAAACGTTAATTAATTAAAATAAAATTTCTTCACCAAAAATACCAACTCATTAATTCAATCCTACATTGTCCAGTTCTATTTGTTTTCTATTTTCCATAGCTGCTTCTTCCAGCCTTTTAATCAAATATTTCTTTCCATAGAAGATGCAAAGGAGGCATTAACAATATATAAGAAATGATGTTTGGGCCTTACCTACACTCTTATTTATGTCATAACAAAGTTGTAACATCAGGATTCTCCTTTTGTTAAATATGAAGACTAAAGCTTAAAAAACACATAATAATAAAACTATATTCCAGTTCTGCTGCTTCCTAGTTATATGCCTTAATCAGGCAAATTAAACACTCTTGAGACTCAATTTCACCTTGCTTTAACCCTTTAACTGGGATTTATGATGAATAAATGAATATATGACTAAATATCAAAAAGAGATAAAAAGAGGCTTCAGGACAACCAAGAAATTCCAGGCCTGGCATGGTGGCTCACACCCGTAATCCCAACACTTTGAGAGGCCGAGGCGGGTGGATCACTTGAGTCCAGGAGTTTGAGACCAGCCTGGGCAACAGGGCAAAACCCCATCTCTACAAAAAATGCAAAAATTAGCCAGGCACAGTGGTGCACGCCTGTGGTCCCAGCTACTTGGGAAGCTGAGATGGGAGGATTACCTGAGCCCAGGAAGTAGAAGCTGCAGTGAGCCAAGATAGCACCACTGCACTCCAGCCTGGGCAACAGAATGAGACCGTTTCTCAAAAAGGAAAGGGGAAGAGGAGAGGGGGCAGGGGAGAAGCGAGGAGAGGGAAGGGAGGATGAAAGGGGGAGGGGAGGGGGGATGGTGGGGGAGAGAGGAGGAAAAGAAGAAAGAAATTCCAAATGTGCTTTGGAATACACAAGCCTAAAACATAAATCAATCAGATATATTACCTTGCCTTCACCAAGCTTTGTAAATGCAACATGATGCCTTTCACCTTTCAAAAACATAAACAATTCAAACTAAATACCATTTAACTTTTATTGCTACAACCCATGGCACTATAAAATATAGTCATGTACTGCGTAACAATACCTAAGTCAACAACAGACCATATATCTATGACGGTTGTCCCATAAGATTATAATACTATATTTTTACTATACCTTTTCTGTTTTTAGATACACAAATACCACTGTGTTACAACTACCTGCAGTACTCAGCACAATAACATGCTGTACAGGTTTGCAGCCTAGGAGCAATAATAGCCTATACCATACACCTGAGGTGTGTACTGGCTATACCATCTAGGTTTGTGTAAGTATACTCTATGATGTTTGCATAACAACAAAATCGTCTAAGATGCATTTATCAGAATATGTCCCTGTTGTTAAGCAATGCATGATTGTATTATACACCACATTTGAAACAAGCATGTGGCAGGTAAGAAAATGAAAATTAAAAGTATTAAAAAACAAGTACAGGCCATGCATGGTGGCTCATAACTGTAATCTCAGCACTTTGCGGGGCCAAGGCAGGCAAATTGCTAGAGCTCAGGAGTTTAAGACCAACCTGGGCAATGTGGCAAAACCTTGTCACTACAAAAAAACACCAAAATTTGGCCAGGCGCGGTGTCTAACACCTGTAATCCCAGCACTTCGGAAGGCCAAGGCAGGCGGATCACAAGGTCAAAAGATGGAGACTATCCTGGCTAACACGGTGAGACCCCATCTCTACTAAAAATACAAAAAATTAGTCAGGCATGGTAGTGGGCACCTGTAGTCCCAGCTACTCGGGAGGCTGAGGCAAGAGAATGGTGTGAACCCGGGAGGTGCAACTTGCAGTGAGCCGAGATCGCACCACTGCACTCCAGCCTGTGTGACAGAGCAAGACTCTGTCTCAAAAAAAAAAAAAAAAGCCAGGCATGGCAGCATGTGCCTGTAGTCCCAGCTACTCAAGAGACTGAGGTGAGATGATTGCTTAAGCCTAGGAGGCAGAGGTTGCAGTGAGTTGAGATCACACCACTGCATTCCAGCCTGGGCAACAGAGCCAGACCCTGTCTCAAAAATAAACAAACAAAAAAAAAACCCACAAGTATAGATTTCTGAATTTGGAGTGTCTCCTAACCTCCCGTAATCATATGCAACATTTTGTATATGTGCATTCTTTTTCCACACTGGAGGCATGAAGATTTGATAACATTTACCAGCAAGTCAGTTGGCCCAAAGAAAGGTTAAGAGTTAAAGCAATTGTTTCAATTATGGAAAAATATACAGTATTCTTGATATTTACTCACCAGAAATATCCATGAATGCACGATCCCATAATTCACCTACTGTGTAACATTCTGCAGAAGTGATGTTGACTGAAAGAACGATATCGTCTTCAACATATTTTAATATGAGATTATTTATCACAATGTTTACATTATTTACAACTCGTCTAATCAGACTCTGCACATAACCTATAAAATAGAAAAAAAGATTTTAATTAGCCACAAATCTCTCAGTAAATAATTATTTCTTAAAATGTTATTGAACTTAATGCATGAGAAAGGTGGGTATTATTTAGCATATTTCCCAAAGAGAAACTAAAGTTCAGATAGGTTAAAAGGCTTGCCAAAGTGACACAGTTAGTAAGTAGCAGATCCAGCCCAACAAATGTCATTATCAAGAAGTTCCATAGTGAAGTATTCACACACTAAGAGAAACCACAAAGACCATATATATTTTTGATAACATAATACTAGATCCCATACAATGATTATCCTATACGTCAAGTACTTTGTTTGATTTTTGCTTATTGTATTATGTAAATATTTTCCAAAATGAAACAATGTTACTAAATGCTGATTATACAGTATATTAAAAGATGGGCTTCTTTAAGCTTACGCTTCTTTTTAAATCAGCTACCACCAACTCTTCCTAGTTTAGCCATAAAAATATTTAAAAGTTATGCCTGGGATAGAGGAAACATGACCATCATAATGAATTCAACTCTATTCACTTACTAATATTTAATGTTAAAATAGAGTAGAGGGGAAAATATGAATGAAGAAAATGTAGACAGGAAGAGTTAAAGAAATATTTTTTAAATACTACCATGAAGAAGACAGAAAAATGAAAAAACAAAAGTAAGGAAGGAAGGAGAATGTATAAAAGTAGAATAAGAACACAGGGAAATAAGAAAAAGAAACAAATACTAGTTAACTCAAAACACTAAAAGTAACTAATGAACATTCTATTTCTTCATGGCTTGCTTAGAATCTCCAAATTTTTTCTTTTAATTTCATGCTACTGTGGAATACTTCATAATCTCACTTACGTTTCTCACGTAGGTGTGTACATGGATACATTATTCAGTAATTTAGTTAAAAATATAAATAACACTTTATAAAAAGCATTTTAAAAGCCAGGAGAAAAAAAAATTAATCTTTTCCACTGTAAAAAGCTAACTCAAAGGTAATGCATTTCCACTATTAAAGGAAACTATTTAAAAGGTAATTAAAATTTTAGCTATTTCATGAAATAACCATATGGTTGTATTCTTTAACCCAGAATGTTACTGGACAAAACAGAATCAACTTCTGTCAGCAACTGACATTGTTAACACCTATACTAAAGACTGCTGGGAGAAAGCTTATTGAAATCTATTCAACCATAACATGTTTGCAAAACCCAACTCCTTCATTCATTCCCAATGATGCAAATAGGAAAGAAATGTAATACAACTTAGATTCGAGCTTTTCTCCTATATAGAAACTATTAGCAGCTTTTAGAGTGCCAATTATCACATGCTATAAAATTAATGTTCAAAATATTAATAGATTTAAAGTAACAATTACTATTTCATGAGTAGATGCTAAAATGATTCTTAACAAATGAGACTTCCAAAAGAAATTTTAAGTATCAACATTTTAACCTTAGAATGTACATAACCCCATGTTATTACTACTCAACGCAGATTTTTAAAAATAAAAATAGGGCCGGGCGCGGTGGCTCACACCTGTAATCTCAGCACTTTGGGAGGCCGAGGCGGGCGGACCACGCGGTCAAAAGATGGAGACCATCCTGGCTAACATGGGGAAATCCCGTCTCTACCGAAAATACAAAAAAATTAGACAGGTGTGGTGGCGGGCGCCTGTAGGCCCAGCTACTCAGGAGGCTGAGGCAGGAGGATGGCGTGAACCCAGAAGGCGGAGCCTGCAGTGAGTCGAGATCGCGCCGCTGCACTCCAGCCTGGGCAACACAGCAAGGCTCCTTCTCAAAAATAAATACGTTTCCAAGAAGTCAAGTGACCATGACTAATATTGGTTTCCCTATTTCTCAAAAACCTGTCATGAATAGGGAACTGTTTTGTTTTGTTTTTTTGAGACGGAGTCTCTCTCTCTATTGTCCAGGCTGGAGTGCAAAGGTACAATCTCGGCTCATGGCAACCTCCGCCTCCCGAGTTCAAGTGATTCTCCTTCCTCAGTCTCCTGACTAGCTAGGATTACAGGCCCGTGCCACCACGTCAGACTAATTTTTGTATTTTTTTAGTAGAGATGGGGTTTCACCATATTGGCCAGGCTGGTCTCGAACTCCTGACCTCGTGATCTGCCCACCTCAGCCTCCCAAAGTACTGGGACTGCAGACATAAGCCACCATGCCCGGCCAATAGAGTACTCTTAAAAACCACGTAAGCGTTCATGAGTTTTTATTATCTTTAAAACAGTATCAAAAATAGCACAGAAATATAATGCAAAGTAATAGAAACATAAAACATGTATTTTAACTGATAGAACACTACTGATGGATTGTTCATCTTTTTAAAAATATTTTCTGGCTGGGCATGGTGGCTCACACCTATAATCCCAGCGCTTTGGGAGGCTGAAGCAGGCAGATCGTTTGAGCTCAGGGGTTCAAGACCAGCCTGGGCAACATGGTAAAACCCCGTCTCTACAAAACTACAAAAATTAACTGGGTGTGGTGGCATGTGCCTTTAGTCCCAGTTACTCGGGAGGCTAAGGCAGCAGAATCGCTTGAGCACTAGAGGTGGAGGTTTTGGTGAGCCAAAGTTGCACCATCACACTCCAGCCTGGGTGACGGGAGTGAAACTCTGTCTCAAAATAGTATATATTTTTTTCTTTCCATTTTGTATTATAAAACTGACATACAAATTGAGACGAATAAGCCAATTCACCAAAGTAAAAGAAACAAATATCGAAAGAACTACTTCTGTAGAAGACTATTTCTATTTCCTTATTAAAAATGCAATGTCAAAATAAGTAACAGAAACATATCAGTGGAATAAATGACACACTGTCTCTATAATCCCTCAAAGTAACTTGCTTCTATGCAAGCTACAAGATAGTGTCAAGCAGATCTAATAGCTCTCATCACTCCATACTTAGAGACTCCCTGGGACTGTATTTGTTCAAATAACAGAATAATCATCCAGGTCTACTCCACAAGCATCTGAAAATGGAAAGTCACACTAAGGATGAGACCTTACAAGATGTAATATTAGATGGCTCTAAAACAGCCTGCTACTTAACCTTTCTCCAGAAATTCTTATTATCTACCTCTCCCCATACCTCATATAACCCCTTCTTCCAAACATACATCTATGTCCACAGGACCAGTTGAAAACACTAAATTTTCACTAACTTTGCTCGTGTTCTTCCTCCTTTTTAGAATACTTTTTGTCCATTCACACTTCTTGTTCAGGTGCAGTATAATTTTCCTCTGCCTTATATTGTCTTCTCCAATGTCCTCCATCCTATACCTCAACACTAAAGAGAAATGCCTCTATGACTTTTCTTGGGCTTATGCTACTATTAGTCATTTGCTTGTGTATATGTTTGGTTATCTTCTCTCATAAACTGTGAAATCCTAGAGAAAAAAGATTATATGTTATTTATTTCTCTGATAGTCTTAAATGGCATGTATCAAAATTTTTTGATTATAAAGAGACACCATCTGCAATTGATTCACCTTGATGTGGTCACTGGGAAGCCAAGTTGCTCATAATCAGAAATTCCACGGTTGATGACTTGGTTACAGTACATAAAAACATCTTAGTCAAGTTTTTGGTGTAAAATTTATTTGAGCATTATGTAGCATCAGATAGGAAATTTATGCTCAAATGGTTAAAGGGAAAATACGTTCTTTAGAATGTTCTTGTCTTTTATGAAATGCTGAAATTGTTTCAAAATAAAAAGTTTGTTAAAAGGGCAAGAATAAAAAATCTTGATTGTCAATGTTATAGACAGGCCCAATAAAATATGAATTAAAAACGTTTATCAGATTTAGTAACTAGATAATAATTGTGGGCAATTACTGTAGAAGCTAAAAAAAAAACAGATGTGAGTTGGTGATACTGTATTATTTAAGATGGTCACAGAAGTTCTAGACAATGAAATAAAGGGAAAAAAGAGAAATTAGTGTATAAGTATTGCAAAGGAGGGAAAAAAGTCATTTCACAAAGATGACAGTACTTTTTATATAGAAGCTCCAAAAGAAGAGACTAAAAAATACTGAATACTGGTCAGCTAACAAAATATAAAAGTTAGCTTTCCTATACAAAAAAAGTGATAAAAACAAAATGGTAAAAATGGAAATCCCAATTAGCAATAAAATGTATGAGATAGCATTTTCCACCTATAAAAGTTTAAGAGATGTTTTTTAATAATAAAAAACAGCATTGGACTAAAAATGTGATTGGAATAAAGTATTGTTACAAACTTTTCACCAAGTAATTTAGCCATTTTATGCCAAAAACCTGAAAAGTGCTCGCAAATTTTGACTCTATAAATTGGAAAGGATTTTTCCTAAAGAAATAAGCAGAGGTGTATGCAAAGACTTACCTACATATGTTTGCTAAAGCATTTTACAAAACTAAAAATAACAAATAACCTAAATATCAAACAAAAAAAAAAGGACTGGTTGAATAAACTGTAGAAGAGTTACACAACAGGATTGTATGCCACTGACCGAAATAACAATGTAAAAAATACGAATGGCCTGGAAACATGTTTTTGGCATAACATTAAATGAAAAATTTAGGCTACAAAAAATTGTGTGTGTGTGCATATGTGTGAATGTGTGTGTATAAAGGAAGAAAAGACTCTCTAAAAGGTTGTACACCACGTTAACCGATTTCAGTTCTGGGTAAGATAAAGTAAGCACTCTACCCTGTCTTTCCCAGTGACTGCAGCCATAAAACCTGGAAAGAATGTGTGAAGCAGCTACTTCAGGGCTCTGAAAAAGTAAATAGTAGGCATGAGATGGGAAACAGAAACAAAAAACAGAGTGACCAAAGAAAAACAACAAATGAAATGGCAAGTGTAAATTCAAACACATCAATAATTATATTCTAATTTAATCACACTGTGGTCAGAGAGAATGATACATGATTACTGATGCTCTGAAATTTCTCAAGACTTCCTTTTCAACCCAGGCTTTGTTAATATCTGTGGATACT